CTTATATTTATATCAGTATATTAAAGAAAACAAATCATAGATATTCATATAATAAAAAATATTTAGCTTCCAATACAACTCTTATCTATCTCAACATTTTGATATACTTAAATTTAATATCGGTGTAAAATAAAAATGTCAGATATTCATGATATACACTTTAAGTAAATATACAACATTATAAAAGAAAAAGTGAAAATATACATTTTTTATTATTATGTACATTACCTACTACATTATATTTACTCTAGAAGGATAATCAAACAAAACAATATCATTAACCATTAGTCTAAGTTGATATAGTTGGTAATATCATGCATTACACGTAAAATAAGATAAGGAAAAGTAGGTATTATGAAATATATTAATGTTTGTTTTAGGGGATCTAAAAAAAAGATATTTTTACGAAGAGTAAAATAAACGAATTTTAGGGTAGAAATTACTTTAGATGGGAACACAATTTAATTGATAATATAGGTATACATTAAGTCTGGATGAATAATGGGTCTGGCTGGGAGATAAAAAATAAAATCAATTTAGAGTTCAACATTTTCAATGCATGAATCATGCAATTACTATACTTAAAAACATATATTCTCGTTTAATGTTATCAACAGAATGCTTATTATTATATTATACCTTATTGTAAATTTAAAATGCAAGTACCTACTTATAAAAATGCAGTTATTATAACTCGCATCTATGGGTAGTTAATAATATTATTTGTCAACAATTTATCAAATACCGATTGTTGAAAATAGGTTTCTATACGAATATAATACTCTTATACTTGTATTTTGAAAGGTTAAATTTTGATATTAAAACATAAAAATTTCAAAACAAAACATAATAAACTATTGTCAAACACGTAAAATAAAGTGTATATATGTACATTAATAATTGATTATCATAATAATATATTGTATCATTAAATCAATTTATCATTATATATTTCAACCTTATTGTATTTTGGGCTTGTCCCGTATTTATGAATAAAATAAAAATACAATAATATAATATATGAATTGTATTGTTTAATCTTGAAAATTTTAAGCAACGTGCTCAAACTTTTCTTATCGCATGCTAAGCTTACCTGAGAAGCAATATAAGTATAAAGTAAAATAATTATAGTAACTTTGAAATTGTAATTTATTCCATAAACTAACACAATTAAAAATATAAAAACTAAGCAAGTTCAAGATATTTAAAATAGAAAACAAGCTTAATTTGTTTACTAAAACAGTTTCTGGATATTTTGTTAAGGACGTGAAAAATATTGAATTTAAATTTAATTATCATGTATATCGTGTTCAAAAGTTAATTTAAATATATTTAAATAATATAAACACTTCATTAAAATATTTAATTAATGAGAATTTATGCAATGTTTTTGTAACCTAGTCAAAGGATTAGTACTTCTATTTTCTATATTATATTATATATTATAATTTTGTCTTAGCAAATTTTAAAGAATAGAAACAAAAACTATATCAAAAACTAATAAAATACGATCTAATAAAAATTAAAAACATGCATCAAATTTAAATTGATTACCTTTTTATCTATGTGTTTACACTTGCGGTAAATCTGTGATGAAGTGTTTTGCATTAAATAAACTTGAAGAGTAAAAATAGCAAAATGTCCACATGAAATTAATAACATAAATTACTAAAAATAAATGGAATTTAATTAAAACAACAATACTTTGAAAAAAAATTAACGTAGGAATATAATTTTAGTGTTTATTACTTTTAGAAAATAACTAGGTAGGTTTATCATCTGATAACAATTATATAATATATTTAATATATATATACATATATAGGAGAAGAAATCAATTCTCATTTGGAAAAGTGTATAGAAAAGTTAATACTTACAGATGAGTACCTTATGTTTTCAATCCTTGCAATAAAACAATATAATATGACAAACGTTGAATTTTCATTAATTTATATTTAAAAATATAAGTTAAGACGTAAATATTCGAGAAAAAATGATTGATCAAGTTTACATCTTTATATTATTGTTTTTACTAATATGCAATAATATGACAGACATTTTCTTCTCATTCGTTTCTCTACTTCTATAATCCCTTTTCTCTGCGTTTGTGAACTCCACACACATATTCTATCGATTATTCTACATATGTAAGTATTTTTTTTTATACCAGTTCTATATACTATTATCCATACAGTGATATTTTTGACTAGAGATCAGTTTTTATTGAATGCATTTCATTTACACAAAACATTTAAAGTATTTGCATTTAGTAAGTAAGATAATTATTCTGAAACAAGGGTTTTATAAAATTAAGTTTAAAATATTACCTGTTTAAATATATGGCATGTAACTTATTCATTAAAAGACTTAGAGCCTATGCTAAAAATGTTATGCTGTGTGAAATTAAAAACAAAAATGATATTAGTTATTATCCAAAAAATAATATTATGGGAGATAATTATAGTTGGTAGACTTGGTAGGTACTTATCGTTAAAGGTTCACATATTTTACTATACCATAATTTTATTGTACTGTATACATACCCGGTAGGGACGTATAATACAAACCCAAAAAATAATTCAATTTTAATAATATTACTTATTGGATAAAATAATATTTACTAATATTTGTATCATAACTAAATAACTTTAAAATAAATAAATTAAGTTTGAATAAACTGAATTCTTAAAATCGTAGTTTAATGTTTCATACATTGATGTATTATAAGTTATAACTTACAACGCATAGTCATTGAATGCGGTGGTTTATAAAATACGTTCCAAGTATAATATTAGGTATTCATATTTCAATGATTTAGATATCTTAGAGACTTAAAATAATGTCTAAAGAAATCTGTCCTATTATCGTCTGTACAGCAGAATCAAGTAGTGTATAGAAATGTAAAATGTGGCTAGAGAGCTTAAAAACGATTGTAGGTAGTAGATAACAACTAAGCATAGCATCTTGTATCTATTGTATTTATTGGAATCGTTTTTTCATTATAATAGCTTAATAATTTCCAAAAAATGTTATGAAGAAAATACAATTAAATATAATAGACCTATATTTTTGTTACAGAAATTGTTTAAAACGCTTAGCCCAACATATTGTATTATATTCGTTGTTTATGTTTTATCCCAGACATATTCGAATATATTTCATTTTGCTTTAAATAATAATCGAAAATAAAAATAAAATTACTATTTGATAAAAATAAAGAAAAAAATGTATTTCAGTAGGTACCATGAATAATATTTTAATGGTTTAACAGTGTGTACCTATTAATGAAAAAAGCATCTATATAGATATATAAAATAGGTACCTATACCTCCATTAGAAACCAAAAAGCTCATAAGATTTAGTTTCTATTACAGTAATAATACTATAATATATACAGGATTAAAATTATATTATTATTAATAAATATTTTTTTTATATTTGTTCAACTATTTACAAATTATTAGTATAAATTAATGTTTTTGAACTGAACGAAAAACAAACAAATAAAACGGAACTAACTGTCGTTTGAAAGAAAATATGACATTTAAAACCATTCAAATCTAAAATTTGTCTGTAACATAGTACCTTCATATTCACATTATTAAAAAGAACCAACGGAATATATGGGTAACGAATTTGAATTTAAAATGAATAATATAAATTATTTCGAATTTCAAAATTACCAAGTTTTGTTGGATATCCTGTTGATAAAATTTGATAAAACCAGAAAATTCTGAGACATAAATTAAACATATTACATTTTAACATAATATCGATATAGATTCTGTAATATTATAAATTATAAAAACTTGTTTTAATAAATAAATTATTTATTTAAGTTCAAAATGGTTATGCTAACGAACACAAATAGTTTTGCAGCATATATTTGTGTAGAAGAAAATTTAAAATAAATAACGAATTTAGCATTAGGTCACATAATATGAACATTTCATAATATGGTTCTTAACACATGAAACAGGTATATTACAATTAAATACAAAAAGTTGTTTTCACCTTATAAATCAGTGAAATCAAATATAGATGAAACTTGACGAATTTACATAAACAACTTTATATTTAGAAAATTAAGCTTTGTCTCCAATTTCAATTGTTAGTAAGTCATTCTAATTTGTAGGGTGTTAATTTTTAAATACATTTTACAGTTGAAGTATCAAGTAAATTATATATTCATTGTAAAATTAGTTCATTAAACTTTTGGTTTGTCATTGATTTTAAAAATGAATAATTATAGTAAGTGCATAGATATAGCATTAATTAGAATAATAATCTTTTTCATAGTTAAATAGTTAAGTTTAAATTCTTGTAACGTATTTTTATTTACTCAATTATTGCTCAATTTTTCACAGTACCCGGTATCGTTTAATCATAAGACCAATAATAACTAACTAGGTATAATATATCTACAAAATAAATAAAATAGGTATTCGGTTATTGTTTCTATCAAATAATAATTATTGTAAAATTCTATTATTTAAAAAATAATTTTTTCTACAAAAAATATTACTTTAAACTACGTTAAGCTCAAAAATTAAATTAATTTGAAATAAAAACACTAAATCTTATATATTTAACTCGAATAGATAATAGTTCGGACTGATAATACATTTATTATAAATGTTACAAAATTACCCATTTTTCAGTTTTAAACACACGATTTCAGCGACCTTAAACATATATTTTTTCGCTGGAATGCATCCATGCTATTGTAAAACACGACAAAACAGTATTAAATAAGAATGAATAAAAGAACAAGTTTACGATTATACCTGGGAAATGTTTGTTGACAAAATTGTTTTTAGAAACGCTGCAGTCGTACTATAAAATACCGTTTTTATTGTTGAAATTGGGCTAACGGGACTAGGTATTCACGGGATTACGGTTTGTTACGACCTACACGTTCATCCTGATATTATGATACCATGATAAATTCAGTGCCATAATATATTGTTGTTATTATTAATGCGTGTTGTGATAGTTACCTGCCGAACAATGGGTGCCATAGAGACGAACTGAACAGGTCATGCCCTGCAGCCAGATGAAGGGCACCTTCGATGTTCAAAAGTCTCGGTTTCGCGTTCGGGTCGATCAAATGCTCTTTGACTTTGATTTTGGGCCTGTACACCGGCTGACCGGCGTCACCGCTGCTGGTAGGAGTCGCGGGCAGTGGCGTTTTCGGTTTATTGGCCGTAGTCGAAAATTGATAGTCTATTCCGATGTCGTTAACGGTGCCACCACTAACACTGCTGTTGACTCCACTGTTACTGCCAGCAACGCCATTGCTACTGCTGTTGACGCCACTGTTACTGCCGGCAATGCCACTGTTACTGCCGGAAATGCCACTGTTACTGCCAGAAACGCCACTGCTACTGCCGGCGACGCCACTACCACTGCTACAGCCGGTGCCGCCGCCGCTACAACCGGTGACGCCGCTGCTACAACCGGTGACGCCAATGCCACAGCCGACGACGCCACTGCTACAGCTGGTGACCCCAATGCAATAGCCGCTGACGCCATTGCCACCTTCCGTCATCGACTGTAGCTGTTGCCCCGGACCGGATTGGTAGTTGTATTGAGCGCGGTTGCGAGGTGATACGGATGTATTTCGCGGAGGCATTGGCGACGGAGATTGGCCGTTGTACGGGCAACCTATTTCAGATGGAAAGTAACAAGTTGGCATCACGCCTGGCGCAACGTACGGGACACATGTTTTTGGATTGCCACCAAGGCAACTGGCAGCAGGAGTCGCGGTGAACGAATTGCAGTCGCCGGGAGACACGGTGTACGGATTGCAGCCGTTGGGGGATGCTGCGGGGAAGGGATGACAACTGCCCGTTTTGGGGCAGCAGCTACCCCCGTAACAAGATGACGGTGACCCGTTGCAGCATACCCCTTGACAAGCGCGTCGTTTCGACTGACGGTGCAGGACCGGTTGCTGTAGCTGTGGTGGCATTAACTGCTGTGGACGCGACGGCAACAGCTGTGACATTTGCTGCGGATGTGACGGCAACAGTTGTGGAATTTGCTGTGGATGTGACGGCAACAGTTGTGGAATTTGCTGTGGATGTGACGGCAACCGCAGTTGTGGCGTCGTGTTGTGGCGCTTGGGCAAAAGTCGCGGCACCTGCTGCTGCACGTGTGGCGGTGGCAACAGTTGTGATTGTTGGTGTTTCTGAGGCTGTTGTGGTGATAATATTGGGGGTTGTGCAACTGTTGGTGGTGGTAATATTTGTGACTGTGACGGTGGTAATAACAGTGGATGCGACTGCTGTGGCGGTGGTAATATCTGTGGCGGTGGCGGTGGCGGTGGTGGCGGTGGTGGCGGCGGAAGTGGCGATACCGACGCACAATAATCATCAGATTTGCTGTAGCCAGGCGTGGAACCGTATGACGGTTCGATATTGCCGTCGAAATAAATTTCGTTCCATTGGCTTTTATCTTGAGGGTAGCTAAACGATTGTTGAGTGGTTGTCGAGTTGGGTAATAGGAGGCTCAACATGGAGGATATCAGGTCGGAGTCGACGCCGGCCACGTCTTTCGATAGGTACGACATCCACAACATTTGATCAATGTTCGACGGTTGGTTACTTTCCGACTTGCGGTCGTCCGTGTAGCCCGGTTGCAGCAGCAAAATGGACCGCAGATGCGACAGGGAGACGGCAAACAGGTCATGGTCCTGGAGTGGTGGCGGCATCATCGACGGCTTTCGTAAGAGTTTCGGAATTTCTGTAGCCGGGCTGGCCACAAGGGCGGCCAGCCTGGCCCTGGGCACGAGCAACGGGTCGGGCACGCACAGCCCGGGGTTTGAAAGCACTTCCTTCAGCTCGGACAGCGGATCACGTTCTCGTTTTACCTGCTCGTCGACCAACGGCTGTTTCGCGGGCAGCTTGTCTACGCGTTTTCTCTTAAGCGGTGGTTCCTGTAATCGTATTTCCAATGCAGATCGCTTACTTACGGTTTCCAGGTTCAACGGTTCGTTTTGCTGTTGCAGCTGCGACGTAATGGTCACCTCGCCCAACTTGCGCTGCACCGGCGGCGTATTGGGTGATAACAGTGGCGGCGTCGTCCCGGAAACGGCCCCGTTGATCGAGACGTTCTCGACCTTGATCTGATGGATTGTCGTACCTTCGGGTAACTTGATGGCCGCTGTCGCGTCGATGGTTGGACACGGAATCTTCACGTCGCTCATCAATGCCGGGTCCCGTTCGATCATCTCGAGCGCTCGGTCGATTCTGGCCCTTGTCTGTACTTCGTCTTCGTCCTCCTCGCTAGATATAGTGTCAACAAAGTCGATAGAGTTGTCGTTGAGGTCGACGAGTATTGGCTGGTCGGATTTTGGACTTTCTTTAATTCGATCGACCAGTCGTGTTTTCTGCTCGACCGACTCGTTGCAAGCGTTTTGTGACTCGCCGACGTCTACGCAGACGGACGAACGCGATTGGGCGGCCGCCAATACCTTAGACCTGGGACAAGAACTCCACACACCGTTGGTCTTGGTCAATTTGATACCCGGATCGTAATCCTCGCAGAATACTTTCAGTATTTTCGTCTCTTCCTTTTTAGCCCACAGAAATATTGCCCCACTCCCCTGTTTCGACCTTTTCTTGTGTTTTTTCCCGAAACGATAGTCCCCGTGGTGGTGTTTCTTATGTTTCTTTTTAGACTTACGTGGTCTGCTCACTTCATTTTCCTCTTCCTCCTCCACCTGCTCACGGACCCGCACCTCCTCCTCCTCGGCCTCGGAATCCGAAGACAGTACAATTACGGTGTCGCATTCCAGGACCGCAGTGCCGCGATCGCCGATCACGTTCGCGTCCACAGTGGCGTTGTCCACGTTGTCAGTGTCCACAGTCTTGTCCGGTGAAGCTTTCATATTTTTTCAGTCGTCCGTCCCACCATATCAATATAAACGTGCGATACTTTCCCAGACGTACGCATCATGCGGCAACGAGCCGCACATTAAACAGCATAAATACGAGTCGGCCTAAACCTAAGCTTCGTGTTTACGAACTGTGTAATATATTGATAAATCGATTGTACTCTACGCCCCACGAAAACAGTATTATTGTATGTACGAGGTTTATCCAACCAAAAATTTCCCAAAACATTTAGCGAAACTCTCGAGCTCCGCGATTGACGAACACGCGCACGAAACAGCTGTGCAGCTACTAAACCGGTAAGAGTCACTGGCCGGCGGCGGCGGCGACAGCGACGGCGGCTACGGCGGCGATGACGGCGGCGACGGCGGCAGCGGCGGTGGCGGCATCACGCGTAAAATTCCGTCGGTTTAACCGGGCTCGGCTGCAGTCGTCGGCGGTCGTGTGTCCGTTCACAGCTATTGGTCGGCCGAGTTTTCACGTTATAGGCGTTACCTCGGGGGCTCAGCAGACAGATCCCAAAATATTACATCGTTAAAGTGATGCGAATTTTCATCGCCAAACGGGCACTGCAAATCAACTCCCCCCCGCCGCCGCCCCTGCTCCGACGACGTATCGATCAGTTTTCCTGCGATTTGAGATTTCGAGTAATTGTCAGACGGTTAACATATCAATGATATTATTATACTTACCGACCATTATAACGTTGGGTATTAACCGTTAAAATGTACCCATATAATATAAAAATACATTCACAAGGAATTATATTATTATTATAATAATATTACTAAACAGATTACAAGTGCATTCTGTCAATAATGCAATTACGTATGTGTATACCGTGAAATGTATTGTATGCCTTCAATAGACACGCGACCCGCACTACGACGCAAGAATCAACTAGACAGACGGACGGGCGCGAGCTTTATTGAATCGGATGTACAATATAAGTGTAATATTTTAGTACCTATGTTTATAACATAATATTATATAGTAATCCCTTGCTAATTGTTTTGATTTCGTTATTTATCTTATTCTTTTAGAAGTATCTAATTATACCTAAAGGTTGGTTTCAATATTACGTGTTAGGCCGTATGCGGCGCCGCGGCGCATTGATTTGTTTCCATATTAAATTATATATCATTTCTAATGAGTGATGAATCAAATTTAAATAACTAAAATTAAACTTAACATTTTTTCAAGCATTCTTTTCCAGAATTATTTATAATTACATAATTTCAAAATGATGCAGAGATCTAATAATTTAAACTGAACTAGTCACTGGTGCTCCGTCAATGGATGGTAATCTCAACAAACGAGAAGTTTTGTCAACTTTTACCATTTCATTTCGATTAAGTATTTACATAGATTATTGCATAATAATTGACATAATACATTACATATACATTACACGGTACATCATTTTTAAGATTGTAAAATTTTTTATTTTAAAAAAACATGTATACTTAGTACTTGTTTTACACTCCGCTGAAACAATTAAACACGTTCTCATGCTATATATAGTAAGTATACACACACACACATTTGACAATTAAATACCTATGGGAAATATGAAGCACTAACCGTGTTTGTTACATATACCCTACTGGAGAGAGGACCTTCTATTATATATATTGCAGTAATCACAGTTATACATTTTTAATTACGTTACTATTCTAAGACAATATTTATATATTTTAGTGAGACTATTAGCTGTATATATGTAGTTTCACAATTGTATTTTATTTTTAACCAGTAAAACTGCAAAATTAAAACACTTCTGCATATAAAAGTTACCATAACAGTTTCGAATGAGAGTGAAACATTAGAAATGTAAGTATTAAAATAAAATATTTCTATTTTCAAAAAGTTCAACACATTAAATTAAAAAATAAGAAAATATCAGAATTGTGAATCGTTTGGTACTCGAGTGAAAATGTGATTATCATTGCCTGTGGTTAAACTCTAATTCATTGGCAAATGAGGAATTAAGAAGCCACTCAAGATCTCATTTCAATCGAAAAGCGATTCGCCTCATACCTAATGGCTCATTCTAAACACACTTGCACTAAATTGTTAAAACATTAGATTAATCCCTGTTTAAAGTATATGTGACTTTAAGATTAACATTTTTGATTTGTTTGTTTTTTCATACCTACTAGACAAGATATATTAGTATACAGTTAAATAATTTTTATCAACTATTTGGTTTATAGGTAAATCTAATTATTTTAATTATTTTTTATATTATTAAATATAACTTATTACTATATTTTTATTCATCTATAGAATTACAGCGATAACAAATAATGGAAACCCGTGGTAGTAGCGTAGATAATCGTATTAACTATTTTCCTATTTAAATAAAAGAACAAGCTATGAGCTTAAATATATTTAACAACACTGGTTCGTAATAAGCAGAAACAAATTTTAAAATTATTTTGCAAGAAATGTATGTAGGTACCAAGTATAGATTTTAATAGTGGACATAAAGTCATAAACAAATAGTCTGTCGACTGTGTAAAGTGTAGTCGAAATTATTTTTCACAGTCTTGTTTTTATACAGCTATGAGCTGTGTAACCAATTAATTAGGTATATTCTAATAATTAGTTTTATTATTATAATATTTAGTACAGTGTTTCTCATTACAAAAAAAAGTACTTACAATTATTTACTTTTGATTCCCGAAAACACCAACTAAATTCTTTTTCAAACTAGAAAAGTTATTAAAGTTGAAGATTGAAAATTTTTTGTTTTTTAACGGTTTTAAAAGATGGCTACAGAAAGAAAAAACACACGCACATCATTGTAAAACTAATACATTCATCGCTCCTCTCAGAATCTAAAATTATGTATTGCATAAATGACGGTAACTATAATCTACTAAATAATTAAATTGATTTTTTTTTTATAGCACCTGGAAGAAAATCTTTGATATCGGCCTTCGAAACATGTCCGAAATAAACACAGAATACACTCATAAGCATTCACATATGGAGTGGTTAAGGTTGTCTATTGACTACTATGTAAACTTTTTTATTATAAATTTACACGACTGTTAAAGTTATTTGACTTTAATACGTATAATGATAAAAAAAATATACTAAATTATTATTAACCGTAAAGCCTGGTTCGCGGCTGTCACGGTCGTGTCGTGTGGTTTTACAGTGCTCTGATTCGCAGTTGTTATGTTATCATTCACAAAATCACAAAACATGATTTTCCACATTGAAATTTCTATAGCTTAACCGAACTCAACTTTTAGACTCAGCACGATAGACGACTGTTAAGAACTCGGCTTAAGGTTTGATTTTGAAACATATAGCAATTATGAATTATAATAAACATACTTTATTTTTCTTGTCTCCTTGGTAGGTATGGAAGAATGACTTCAACTGACTAGTGACTGCTATTTTAGTTTTTTTCATAATACATGAATATAAACCTGTAAATAGTATTAAAGTCTTAAAGAGTAGTTTTTTGTGTTATTACAGACTGCAGTTGTGGAAATAAAGAATTACGTGAATATACTTAGACTTATTATCTATTACTATTGACTTTTCTGCCGACGTCTGCACACGCTTATGAATAAAACCATTATCATATGTCTAAGAATCATATCTACCTATCTTTTAGATTCTGAGTGGAACGATGAATGTATTGATTTTACAATGATGTGTGTTTTTTTATTTTTGTGTTTGTCATCACATTTTAGGACAGTAAAATTGCTTAGATTTTCTTCAACAGTATCTTTTCTGATTACCATTTTCTATACACCATAACATTTCCAAATATTTTGACTTATTTTGAGCTGTTTACGGACATTTTGAGTTAGAAATTCATAAACAATTTTCTTTTTAAATCTAAGATTTTAAAATGTAAAACAAGATTCCTCTTAAGTTTGTCTTCCTTTATCAAAACAAAAATGTCTAGAAGAAAGTCAAATTAAATTTTTATGAATGTTTGAAATTCAAATTTTTACAACATTTTATATTCACTCGATTTCTCATGTAAGTAGCGATTTTCTTATTTTGTTGTAATTCAAAAACGAACATTGACGATGAACATTTTACTGAATGTTTATTTTATCAATTCTTATAGTTGATAAAATTTTCAAAATATATTGATTTGTTTTGAGCTTTTTACGGACAATTTCATATTTCATTTTTTTTCCTATGAATATCAATAAAGTTTTATCTGTTGGGTCAAAAAGTGTAAAAATTTAATTCAAGGCTCCTGATATATTTTTACAATAGCAGTTGAAAAATATTAAAAATACATAGGCACAATTTTTTTTTATAAGCATTTAATTTCGAATTTTGACAAAATTTATCAAATTTAAAATTGAATAATTATTTTGTAGTTAAAAATGTATAAAATTATCAAATTATATATCTAAGGATTGAAAATTTAAAACAAGATTCCACTTAAGTAGTTTATTCTGTTACCAAAAAATCTAAAAATACATAGGCACAGTTTATTTTTATAGTCATTTTAAGTTCAAATTTAGACGAAATTACAAATTATAAAAACCTAGAATAACGATTTTAGTTATGTTGTTGTGATTGTATAATATTATTCGTGGGTAATTGAAACTTCTAAATTATACTATTATATTATATCTATTATAGTATCACGGTATGTTGTTGATGTTTAACAAGTTATAAGTACCTAATGGTTATTACTTATTGTGATATGATTAATTTGGAATTTATTATAGGTGCATTTTTTTTTTTAATACCATATATTATAAGTATATAACATGTCTTACATACAATGATATTATATCATTGAATTCAAATTTAATACCATCCATTATACAGTGACCCACTTGCAACCTACTGTACAGCAGAGCGCCTTTTTTTTTATTTGAAAATAAGTGTAATTATCATACAAGGCTGTGTTTGTATATTATGTTAAATAGATTTGATATCCCTTGTCAAACGTAGGTATTTAAAAATATTAAATATCTTTCTAAACTATAAAACTGGAGCT